ACCGAATGGGTCTCTCCGCGTGGGCGACCGTGAGGAGATCGAGGAAAGGAAGCTGCGAAATGAGCCCATGAACTGTTGCTGTCAGTCATTTCTTTTGTTCATTCTTTTCATTCGGTTCATTCAGTAACAAGTGCCTTACTAGTAGTAACAAGAAGCTATTACTATGTTTTCTTTCTTTCGTTCTTTAGTTCTTTTGTTTTGAAGGTTGAAGATCGCAAGAGATCAGAAAGCCAAGTAATTGGGTGGGATTTCTGTTAGAGCGTTGAGAGAGCAAGCAAAGCGGGGGGTTGAGGCATTGAGAAGAACATCGTTTAACTGGATTGAGAAAACATGAGAAAACAAGGAAGCAAATGTAGGAAACTTACGTTTCAAAGCTCCTGTGATATGAGTATAGTTCTAGCCTCACCGAGAAGTTTTTTGGACTTTGCCACTATTCCGAACACACGAACCTCCATCGCTTCATGAGAACCGGAACCGTTTCCTACCACCAGACTTGGATCTGAACCCGCCAAAAGAGCAAACAACACATGTTTTGTTCATCATATAAGCAAATCATCCAACAAATCAATGATGATGGACTGACCAATCACAACAACAAACCTCCATGCACAACATGCACACACAAACTAAAACCAGAATATCTGCTCCGTATACCATCCCCCCTCGTCTACTCACGCACTCACGCGCGCGCGAAAAGATGCGCGACACCGGGCACCGCTCAGCCCTCTCTTCAGGAGTACCATGATCCGAAGCCCTCAGCTGTCAGGGCATGATCTCAGACCTCCCAGAGGTTAACTCTTGTTTCTAGTAGCTTCTTGTTACTAGTAGTAAGGCACTTGTTACTACTAGTAAGGCACTTGTTACTAGTAGCGATGCACTTGTTCCTAGAGTTGAGCAAATCAACACGAAAGATTGACTTGGGAAGTTCCTTGCGGGTTGTGTAGGACCCTGAAGATTTGAGATAGATGCGCTGCCTGTTTTGAGGGAAAATGAAACCCTGCGGAATTAACGCAGTTCCCTTCAGATCTGTCCATTCTGCATCCGCAGCAGGTTGCTTACTAGGTAAACTGCTGAGTCTCACCAAAAGCATCCTAGGCCATCGCTATTAGGTTGGAGGCCATCGCTATTGGGTGGGCCCTATTGACGGGCCTACTGTCAACATGGCCATCCAAACACACCACGTGGATGACTAGCTGACGAGCAGCTGCACCCACCACTGGGAAGCGCTGAATGCACATGCCTGCATGCCTGGTGTAACCTCGCTAGGCTTCAGAATTTTGGAAACGATTCAAAGAAAGGCCATGGACGACGGGTACATACGGGTACACTCACCCTTTGTGCCCGGCTGTATTTTTCAGTATCTTCACAGGGAGACCTCTGCCTTCGAGAGTAACATGCCGTCAAGATATGTCAAAGCAAACCTACAGTCGTGTGCGATGATGGTGTCATTTATCGCATCCAAAGCAACACTATGCGCGACATCTTCGACCAAAACCATTCGACGGCCGGGCCATGGTCTGGCCCTCTCGGAGACCTGCACCATCCGGAACATCACTGGCCGTCTCAACTGCCAAGAGGCGGAAAGTTTCTATGTACAAAGCACGTGATCTTCATCTTCGAGATCTCTAATCATCTACACCTGGCCAAAGCCAGCGGGCCGTGGCGGGACGATCTTTGAGATCATGTTTCCAGTTAATGTTTTGAAGAACTCCAGGTATCTTTAGTTTTGCAAGACTTGTTATTCAGCAGCATACCAGTAGAAATACAAACCAACTTAGGGGCAACTGCCATCTGCTCGAAGTCTGTGCTTTGTAGTCGTGCGGCACGGAGGCATTTCCGCTCTGTGAGAAAAAGTAAAAAAGCAACCGAATCAAATTCAGTGCTTGTGCTACTACTGTGGCCCCGAAGTCGAATCACAATAAACGTTCTCCTCCAACAAGGAAGGTTTGACCAAATTATATCCGACTCTTGAGGCATTGTTTACCTGAAACTGGTGCTGCCACCCTCTTACTAGATGCTGCACTGATGGAGAGGATGCACTTGCTGCACTTTAAGGTGCCATGATGTGCCATGGGAGGAATTGACATGAATACCGACCTCAGAGCTATTGATACATTTGCTGAAGAAAAGAGAATCCGAGATGTCCGGTGATGTCTCAAGTCTTAGCATGTCCGAGTCTTAATCGGACAATCGATTCAAGATCGCAAAAGCGGGAAGGGTCAAAAGGGTGGTTCTTCTTGCTCCACATCACGCCGTGTCAAGCTTCGGAACGTCAAATGCATGCTGATTGCCCCTCACCATAAAGAGAACACCCTTCGCAAGGCGCACGACCAATGAACAGTGAGGTCCGTGCACAGGGAGTGCGCCGTGCGCCCAACAACCGTGTTTCCCGAGCGCCTGCAATGGTCAGGGCCAGGCCCGGGAAAAGGCTGAATGGCCCGTCGAAGGGTCCATGTCCACCCTGTGAGCAGCTTGAAAGCGTTGCGCCGCGTGGTGGGTCGAGATGCTTCGGTGCGAGCGGCATGCCTGAAAATGATGGGGATTTTGTTGTGCAATGATGAGGAAGAGAATCAAAAGAGATGTCGGGAATCAATCCGATTCATCTTAAAAGGATTTGATGAATCTGCATGACACCTGCAACTGGCTGCGCTATGCTGCGCAGCATCGGGTTGCCACGCGCTCGCGGCGCGCTCGGCCGCGCCTTGGCTCGCACGCTGGAACGACCGGTCCACTTGGCTCCAACGGCTCGGTCCACCTGGCGCGAGGGACTCGTGGACGAGCCGGTGGGTCGGTGGTGGACGTCGTCGCACCCAAAAACGAATGGTTGTCCGACTAGAAATGAACAAAATCCATGATATTCCCGTCATTAACATAATAGCTTTTTTATCATATTACATTACTTTAATATACTTTAATCACTTGCAGCTGAGCAAAGGCATGCGCAGTGCACATCTTCAGAATTCACGTGCGGCTTTGACATGAAAAACATCTGCGTGTTCAGGAATTCTCCGCAGCGTTCCGCTGTGAATCGATCTACTTTCTGCCTTCACAGCCGTGACCCTCTGGATGCCTTGGCCCCCCCGAGCTGAACGTGAAGTCTCTGGGATCACGAAACGGTTTACGGTGTCCTTCTGATCGTCTCACCCTTCATTTCGGAAGTGTTCATCAAAGGGTTTGCAAATTCTCACATTCAATACACATCAACTGTGTCAGGGGTCACCTCTGGCTACTTTCTCTAGCGAGCTGGCCAAGTGGAAACAGCTTTGCTGGTACATACCCAAACATAAGGGACATCATGTATACACTAACTGTGTCTCAAGCCGTATCTATACGATGCATCTAATATTAGCTGCCACTTCGATCAAAAAGAAACACAACAAGTCTCAACTCTGGTCAACTCAGTCAACTCATCTCAATATGAGAGGAAATGATCTGCACATATCTGCACTGCATGGGACCGCCACGTCCAAAGACATGCAGAGCAGCACGTCACGACTCGCTACCGTCGACTCGTCGTCCGGATCACTCTCACCCGTCTGCGTCCTGCGAGCTCGGACCGATGGGACCGTGAAGTCAGCTGTGGGTAGAGGACCAGCTGTGACCCCAAAGCTCTATACTGGGGATGTCAATGGATCTTGATGGCACTCTGGCTCACCACCATGGAGGATACCTTCCTATCAGGGAGTCTGCTCCTTTTTGACTTTGTGCCAATTGATCTGAAGTGTTTGTTCTGGACATTTGTCACTTGTCTTAGGAGATCTCCCCATTTACTCAGAGATGGTTGATCCTCATTGTGATCAGGTAGTAGTCATAAATGGTCAAAGTTCTTTTGTTTCCCCTAGTGCTGTTGGGGTTGGGTGGGTTGAGTACTCCCACATCGGGCCGCCAAGTGGCCCCTCGTATGATCGGTTTGTGTGGAAGCTTCCAGAGATCGCAAGTCAAGCGAAAGGAATGTAGAACGGGGACCCTCAAACACTGTCAAACAACAAAAAAAAGAATCGCATAATTGAACAGAACAACTTTATATATGAACTAAATCAAACAGTGCGGACTTAGGAGGGTGATGGTGAGATTACAGCTGTTTTGACCAACACCTTGGCTCTTTTCTGCTGATCAGAGCAACTAACATGGATCTACAAGCATCGAACTCATTCATCTGGACACGTTCTTCGGTCACTTTTCACCTCCAAGCGATAGGCCCTGCCCGACCTGGATACGATGCTTCTCCGATAGGCCCTTTAAAGGCCAACAAGTATCCTCAATGAGGATGACGCAGAACTAGTGAACAGGTGTCTCTATAGACAATAGAATATCTAGCTTCTAGCTACTGATAGCGATGCACTTGTTACTAGCAACTATATAGTAGTAATGCCCTTTGCTACTAGTAGCTTCTTGTTACTAGTAGTAAGGCACTTGTTACTACTAGTAATGCCCTTTGCTACTAGTAGCTTCT